AGTACAGCATCAGCTGAGCGCGCTCTCCGGAGAGGCGCGCTGCCATGGTGACCGAGTCCAGCTCCAGCCCGAGAGAAGAGATCCTCTGCACGGGGGCGAGTTTGCTCTTTTCTCGGTTGACCTGAAACCCCCACAGGTGGAAGTGCCAGAGCACTTTGTCTCTGTGCATAATCAACTCTGTGCATAATCAAAGAGAGGGCAAAATTCAGCCAGTCGTAAAGAAATTGAGTATGCAGATGCCCGCGAGCCGAAGGGGCGCTGAGGCACCCTCCGCGGGCTTGGTGAGGACCCGCGGAGACAGAGAGAGCCCGAAGGGGAGGGCTTTGTATTGCCAAGCTCGACCTTCAAACGCAAACCGCAGAAACTGTCGGTGGCGAGGAAGAGTGGAGACATGGAAATACGCGTCCATCAGGTCTAATGCTGCAGACCAACCCAGAGGACGAACGCACCGGAGGATGCGCTTCTGCGTGAGCATTCTGAACGGCAGCTTGTGCAGGCAGCGGTTCAAAACGCGCAGATCTAGGATTGGCCGTGACCCACCGCTCTTTTTGGGCACGATGAAGCGTGGGCTGTAAAACCCGCTCTCCATCTCGGCTGGAGGGAGCGGCTCGATTGCATCCTTCGCCAGGAGGACAGCAATCTCCTCTCGCAAGACAGGGGCGGACAGAGGGCTGACCCTGGTGAATACACACCCGTGACTTGGGGGGCCGTTTCGCGAACTGAATCGCATAGCCGAGTCTGATTGTGCGTATGAGCCACCGCGAAGAGCTGGCCCGCGCTAACCAGGCAGGCAGAGCTCTCGCTAATGGACTCATCGCTACAATCGCTGACGTACCAGCAGTGGGGCAGCGCGGAGTGGGTGTGCTGATCCGGGAAGCTCGCGGGTCCCACGGAAAAGCTGGAGGTGAGATATTTGCTCTCACTCCAAACCCGAGCTCCGGAGGGGAGGCTCGAGGGGTGGGAGAAAGGAGACCGTCCTCCCAGCGCTCGTGAGCCACTGGCGAAACGCACCGAATCTGCAAGCTAGAAAGCATAGCGTCCCAGACTGGCAGATTTCGGGCTGTCACATCTGGGGAAGTGAAAAGTGCCCTTTCATAATGTTTTCATGGCAGTAAAAAGTGCCGTTGGAAATGGGGCCCCCCCCTCCAGCGGGGCAAGAGCAAGTTCCCTCTTCTCCAGATGGCCTGTCCCAGGGGCGCTTCGCGGTCCGTTGCCGGACTTAGCGGCGTTCTGGGCAGGGGGGCTGCCTGCTTCCGAGGTGCCCGACGCGCTCGCTTCGCCGGAGGCGTGTGCGGGGGCGGAGCAGCTCTCGTAGGCGGGCGCCTTCGGCGAGGAGCAGGTATGAATGGCACGGCGGGCGGAGCGGGCTACGGACCGCCGATAGACATCACCCACCAACTGCTCTCTCACCGTCTTGAATTCCTGGGTGAATTCACAGACAGTGTCGCCGAACCTGGCTGGGGATATGGGGAAGTCAAGAAAGCGGACTTTGTCGACTTTGCGCATATCAGCCAGGGGTGGCGCTCCTGGACCACTAATGTGGACATCGTCCTCCCCAACGCACACGCAGCGGACTCAGTAGTCCGAAGAGCTAAGTCGGCGGCGGTGCGAAGCTCGTAAGCCTGGGTTGGACCCACCCTCGTGCAGCTCGGCCAGCGCCTGCGCTTGGTAGCGCTGGTAGGTGGCTATCGCATGCAAGGCGGAAGCAGCCTGGCCCGCAGCTATGTAAGCTCTAGCTCCGAGGGAGGTAGATAACTTACAGGCTTTGGATGGGAGACGAGGCGGACCCCGCCAAGAAGAGGCGCCGCGCGGATTTACCGCCATCGCGCACTCAACCTGAGGAATCGCCACATACCCCCTGGCTGTTTCACCGTCAAGAGTGGTTAGGGTGGAGGAACACGCAGCACGAGCAGAAAAAAGTGCTTTACAAGACCGCGTGAGCCTACTGTGCCCCTCCGGGAAGAAGGGAACGCCCCTCTAGTCGGTCCGGCCGCGGAGCTGGGGGATAAACCATCTCCAACCCACGGCCGAAGCAGCCCGGGAAAGCACGGCTAACATTTCCGTTTCAGGATCCGTAGTGACAGCGCTCACCAGCCCGAAGGGGGCGAGCGGGTCTGGATCATCATCGGACAATGAAAGCCCACCCTCCGATGCCGCGGTGGACATCTGGTCTCCGGTGTCATCGGGCGTAAGGGCTACCATCTGTTAGACGGATCGCTTCCCCCGCCCGAAGCTTGGATGGAGCGCTTAGAGGAGCGGGAGGTCCGCGGGCCCGTGGGCGACGGATTATCTCTCGCTGAAACCCTCAGATCTGCCCGAGTGCCCGCTGCAGAGCAGGGGACAACTGGGGTGGTTCGCCCTTTTGCAAAGGCTAACCGCGATCTTGCGCAACAGTCATGGCATCGCAATGACGACATGAACTGCCCGCGAGCAGCGCATTAACATGCTGGACCCCCAGACATGCAACGCAGTGCCCGCGCCCATCATCCGAGGACAGGAAACCACCGCATCCAGAAACGCACAGTCGGAGCGCCGTCCTGATAAGGACGTGCTGCACGACTGTGTTGCTCTTTCTGTGAAGTTTGCAACTTTATACGCACCGCTCTGGAGGACCGGACCCAAAGAACGCCAGGCAAGGGAGAAACCCAGCTCGACCGTCTGCCACTGCGTGTACACACTCTGGACCGGGAGAATGCTCTCGTTCGCTCAGAATCGCTGGTCACAGCAGGAGGAACCCTCATCGACTCGATCAGAAAGTCTCTGAAGCGAAAAGGATAGCGTCTGCTGGCGCCAGGTGAGCTTATATACTCAGTTGATTGCTTATGCCGCTCACCTGCGCAGGCTTGCGCTGCCAATTCATTCTTAATTGGCCCGTTCAATACTCTTTCAGACGAGTAGCTTCTGAACCGAACCTCCCTATGCGTGGATTTTACAATCAAATCCACTTATAGTGCTGAAGTTCCCCCCGAAGGGGAACTTTTGTTATTAACTACATAATGAGAAAGAAGCATTTAATGGGGTAGAAAATGTTTATATTTGCTCACCAAATTTACACTAGTATTTCCTCCATTTCTTGGGTCCAAATAGACTGAAAATGAGCGCTTTTAACTTCTCCCCCATCCTCCCGGTGGCCTGCAGATACAGGTACCCATACTAGTGGATGCTGCTCTCTTATTAGCTCTCTTACTCGTATTGAATTGCCGACAGCTCCAGATATTTAGCATGAAAATATCTCAGGGGCATCAGCGAATCATTGGCGATTCTCTCAGATTGCGTCTTTGATCGTTCACATTGTGTGATTGTTACTCACGTGAAAGAGCATCAATTTGCCTGTGATTTCAGGCATTTGTCGGCGATTTCTCAAACCAGTCTGCGATTCAAAAGCGGGGCTAAAATCAAGCAGTCTGAACATGGCATCAGCGTGTCTGACAAATTACAATAGGTTGTTAGTGCTTTATCACTACCAATAATTGACACATTATTAATTGGTTGACTATTTTAATAAATAAAAATGCAGGATCACTGAAACACTTTGGACACTGGACTTTTCACTGGACTGGATTTTTCAGTGGAAGTTTCAAACAGTCCCTTAAAGCAGGGGTTCTCAAACTTTTCAGCCCGCAACCCCTAAAAAAACAACACCAGTGACTCGCGACCCTGTCTATGCTCAGAGGTGGTTATAAGCATACAAATATTGCACACAATGGTGCACACACCCCAATAGGAATTACATAAACAAGCTTATTGATGACACAAAAAAGTGCAACAGTCTATTTTTTATAATAATTATTCATTGGTTTAATTTAATATTAATCTCCCTTAATGAAAATGATGAGCACAATGTTTACAGCACAAGACTATTCTTGGTTTAATTTTGGAGACTTGGAGCCACTTGGAGATCATCCTCCTTGTTCAGTCATGACCTCTTTTTTAATGTAAAGTATGTGATTGCCATAAAGGTATCAAAGTTTAACATTGTACCGTAAAATCAATCTGCTGCAACTAATGCTATTGCTGTGATTGTAATCTAGCATAATAAACCCAGGGGTCGCAATCCAATGTAAAAAATAAAAAATAAAATAAATAAAAATTGAAAGGCTGATGATTTTTTTATTTGCATGTTTTTAATTAAAAACGATTAAATATTACCTACATATTACATATTATATACGTTAAGAACTATTTTTATATTCTGCAGGTTATGGATAAAATATGATAGTTGTAATAGTTTAATAAAATATATAAGATTTTTGGAAATCACCAAGCGGCCAACCCACAGACCTCACCCCCCACCCCCACCTCATTGTCTTGCGACCACCCAGGGGTTCCCTACCCCCACTTTGAGAACCACTGCCTTAAAAGTATAGTTTACCACGAAATAAAACAAATTACATCACCATTTACTCTCCCTTTATGAGTTTCTTTCTTTTGCTAAACACAAAATAAGATATTTTGAAGAATGCTGGTTGATACTAACCATTGAATTCCACAGTAATAATAAAATATTATGTAAGTCAATTAGTGTCACCAACCAGCATCTTTCAAAATAACTAATTTTGTGTTCAACAGAAGAAAGAAACTCAAATAGGGTTTAAGCTAGGGAAGGGCTAGTAAATGATGACAGAGATTTCACTTTAGAGTGAACAATCCCTTTTTAACCAATATTTCCAATTGACAAAATGTACTTTTTCAAGAAGCTTTGGAATGTAATGGGTCACAATTCAGGAAGCTGTCACATAGCCATCTATGGTCAGATTTTGAATAACACAAGGCTGAGTTTAATTTTATGCCAAAGGAACTATCTAATTCTAGCAGACATTGAAAGTGGCAGACCTGGTGCATCCCGGTGCAGTGCAGCTACAGTGATAGCTTTGAGAAGTGCAGTGCTGCTGAGAAGGCCAAAAGAAAATCTTTAACTCAGTGAAGGGGTGGCTACAAGCTAGGCTGGTGACTTGCTGGTCCTAGGCTGACGCCCTCAGTAAGATCCGTCCAGTACCTACCAGGTGGACCTGGCTGCCGCCGCGATAGTGGCGGAGTGCGAGAAGGGGACGGACTGCAATCGGATGGACTGTGCTGCTGCCTCAAGAATGGACTGTCCAAGCGGCCTGGTAAACGGGAGACAGGACCATGGTGCGGGACACGCGGACACCCACATACACACACACAGAGTGACGGACACAGATGCGACAGTGGAAGACCAATCAGGAGAGACAGAAGGAAAGAAACCCAGGGATAGATAGAGAGGAGGGTAAATCCGTACAAAAGAGAAATGATTAAAGAAGCACGAGTTCAAAACAGAAGAGATGATGGATGTGGAGCGGACAGGTGGAGGTTAAATAAGATCCAGGATCGTCAGAAGGAAATATGGAATGGATGGATGGTTGAAAATGAAAAACGAACAGATGTTAACAAGCAAATCATGGAGTGAGTAGAAGAGAAAGAAGGTATTAACCGAGAAATAGAGAGAAAAAAAAGTGAGGTAGAAGGAGAGAGGTAAGAAAACAGAAGTTAGTGTGATGTTTCACTCCTCCGAACATAATGAAGCAGTTGTAGATGGTAGTGTGGTAGTTTGATATTCACTCCAAAACTGAAACGTCTATAATCTTATTTAAGCAAGGACATCACATCTTCAACCAGTAATCGTTTGTCTGTTGGAAAATGCAGCAATATAGCATTCTTGACAATAAAGCAATATTTGCTAGAAATACTCCTACTTAAACCACCTATATAAAAATTAACCATGGTTTTATTACACTTACCATAGTTTAACCATGATAAAATGGACAAAATATAGTACTTTATCATTATAAAACCAGGGTTAATTTGATAATTTTGTAAGGGTAACAAGGTGGTCTACAGTCAAATGACAGACTGCATGTAAAATTTTCAGTGGCACATTTTGTCTTGTCTTAACCAGAATTGTTAATAGAAACACAGTTTCTTTACTCAACCTTTAGATGCACATTCAAAGCCAATGTAATAAGTAACAAGACTAAACAAAACAGCTTTACTTGGAACAAAGTATAAACTAGTCCGTTTAACCGAAAATAATATTTGCGATTAGAATTAGCAAACCTGAATGACTTAGCAAAGTACAATGTAATAAATGATTCCGGCAGAGTTTACTTGTTGTTAGCATGTTGCTATGCTAACAATACTCTAATAATTATACAAATACCAAGTACACAAACTATTGTGGTTTTTTTTTTTTAGCCAAGTTAGATTAGACTACTTGAACTGATCAAAATGACAGCCGATTTGAATGTTATCAGCCGATTGAATGGGCATCAGTGGTTATCAGCTGATAGATATGGGTCAGTAGGGGCCTTCTGTGCCTACTAGTAGACTCAGAAGGCTGTTATCATCCATCTCAACATGTGGACACTTCAAATTGTCCTAACAATTGACCCTTTTTATTGTCCTACTTTATCTCTAGCAGTGTAGCTGATTAACTATGTGGATGGATGATAACAGCCTTCTGAGCCTACTAGTGGTCGCAGAAGGCCCCTACTGCCCCATATCTATCAGGCGATAACCACTGATAATGCCCATTCAATCGAGTGATAACATTCTTATGATTATAACCTACCTGAGTTGGTTTGACTGGTTTATCTAGATTCCCAGGCTAACAAACTCCCCTTATGATTTCGATTTTTTTTTAAGTAGTTAAAGTGTAGTAACTTTGGCTTTTCTTACAATATATTTTTACTAGTTAATTTAAACTTAAAGATTAGTACCTCTTGAAAACCCCTGTTATATATACATATATTCATATTTTACATAATTTATCTTCATAAATCATCTATCAGTGATCATTACAAATCAGTGGTGATGATTAAGAGCTGAGAATTCAGCACACTGTGAGACAGATGGTCTACCCTGAGCTCGGCTGTAAGATTCATTAAATGACAGATTGAGAGACAAGTGAAAGGCAAGTAGCAGGACAAACAGAGGCTTAGGATTTAGCATCAGCTCTTAACTATGATCTTACCGGTCCTGTGTGTCATCACAGGAGAGATGTCCACGCTGTTGGCTATGGCCCTCTCTCTCTGCTTAAAGAATTCCCGTGGGTTACTGGGCCTCTGGGCAATGATGGCTGCCGCTTCCTATAAACATATGAAACAAACCATAGTTATGCTGTTGAATGTACTGTAATGTGTGTGTGTGTTTGTATTTTTTATGATTAGTATTTTATTCAAATTATGCTACATACATTATAAATATATACAAGCAGATGTCAAACTGTCCACTTGTACAAAGGCAAGAGGGAAATATATATACAGTTGAAGTCTGAAATATTAGCCCCCTAAATTATTAGCACCCCTGTTTATATTTTTCCCCAATTTCTGTTTAAGGAAGAGAAGATTTTTTCAACACATTTCTAAACATAATAGTTTTAATAACTCATTTCTAATAACTGATTTATTTTATCTTTGCCATGATGACAGTAAATAATATTTGACTAGATATTTTTCAAGACACTTCTATATAGCTTAAAGTGACAATTAAAGGCTTAGCTAGGTTAATTAGGGTACATATGCAGATTAGAGTAATTAGGCAAGTTATTGTATAATGATGGTTTCTTCTGTAGACTATAGCAAAAAAATATAGCTTAAAGGGGCTTATAATTTTGACCTTAAAATGGCTTTGAAAAAATTAAAAACTGCTTTTATTTTAGCCAAAATAAAACAAATAAGACTTTCTACAGAAGAAAATTATTATCAGACATACTGTGAAAATTTCCTTGCTCTGTTCATCATAATATGGGAAAAAAAAAAAAATAAAAAAAAGTTAAAGGGGGACTAATAATTCTGGCTTCAACTGTATGTATATATATATATATATATATTATATAAAAATATATTACAAAAAATCAGATTGTGTGTGTATTTATACTTATTTTTTTGAGCATTGTGAGCATACTTAAATTTTTACTTAAAACCAGCAGAGGGCCTAAACAGATCCTTTCGACACACCATATTGTACAAGTATGATCTAAACTAAATAAAATTTTAATTCCTGCTCCAAAACAGTGATATAGTTTTGTAGCTAATAATACACCAGTATATAATTCGAGCATTTAAAATTGCATTTATTTATTGTTAATATTATTAATGACCAAAACTTTTGAAGGATGTTTTAAATCCAACTATAGTGGGCTTCAGTAAAATTACAAAAGGTCCTCAAATTAAAATGATTTAAAACAGGACAAGGTACAAGCAGAAATAAAAAATAGTCTGTGTCCTCTGTAATTTTTCCAATAAAGTACAACAATTCTCTTAAAAAAAGAATATATAACTGTTTATTAATGATTTTATTGGGCTAAGAAAAACAGTAAAATATTTAATTTAGGTATATATTTAATACAAAAAAGATAACCTAATCCAGTAGGATATAAATGAGTGCTGTCAATTAATTAATCGTGATTAATTGCATCCAAAATAAATGTTCATATTTACAAAACACATTTGTGTGTACTATGTATATTTTTGTGTATATAAATATATGCATGAATATACTGTATAAAATGCTTGTTTATATTCATATAAAAATAATTATATAAAACACAAATAATACAAATAAGATATTAATATAAATTTATGTGTAAATATATTTCTTTTGTATACTTTTTGTATTGAATGTGCAGAACGTGTGTGTATTTTTACAATAATACATAAAATATAGTATATATGAACAAAAAGTATATATTTAAATATATATTTTGTAAATACAAACTTAATCTTGAATGTGATTAATTGCGATTAATCATATTACAAAGTCTATGCAAGGGTATTGGAGAGGAGGATCCGGCCAATGGTTAAACCTAGGATTCAGGACCTAGGATTTAAGAGGAACAATGCGGTTTTCATCCAGGCCGTGGTACACTGGACCAGCTCTAAACCCTCACCAGGGTGCTCGAGGGTTTATGGGAGTATGCCCAAACAGTCCACATGTGTTTTGTGAACTTGGAGAAGGCTTTCAACCATGTCCCGCGTGGCATTTTGTGGAGAGTGCTCTGGGAGTATGGGGTTAGAGGTGCTCTGTTAAGGGCTGTCTCTGCATGAACAGTAGGAGTTTGGTTCACATTGCCGGCAATAAGTCAAACTTGTTGCCAGTGGATGTTGGACTCCGGCAGGGCGGCCCTTTGTCACCAATTCTGTTCATAATTTTTATGGACAGAACTTCAAGGCTTGGGCTGGAGGGGGTCTGGTTCGGGTACCACAGGATCTCATCTCTTCATGGAACATGGATCTTCAGCATGCACTGGGTTGGTTTTTTACCGAGTGTGATGCGACTGGGATGAGAATCAGCATCTCCAAATCCGAGGCCATCGTGGTCCACCGGAAAAAGGTGGTTTGTCTTTACATCAGGAGGAGGAATTCAAGTATTTTGGGGTTTTGTTCACAAGTGAGGGAAGGATGGAACGTGAGATTGACAGGCGGATTGGTGCAGCGGCAGCAGTAATGCGGTCGATGTACCGGTCCATTGTGTTAAAGAAAGAGCTAAGCCGAAATACAAAGCTCTCGATTTACCGGTCAGTCTACATCACAGGTGTCAAACTCAGTTCCAAAAGGGCCGCAGCTCTGCACAGTTTAGTTCCAACCCTAATTAAACACACCTGATCAAACTAATTGAGTACTTCAGGCTTGTTTGAAACCTACAGGAAAGTGTGTTGGAGCAGGGTTGGAACTAAACTGTGCAGGGCTTCGGCCCTTTTGGAACTGAGTTTGACACCCTTGGTCTACATTCCTACTCTCGCCTATACAGCATGGTCATGAGCTTTGGGTCATAACTGAAAGGACAAGATCTCGGATACAAGTGGCCAAAATGAGTTTCCTTCGCAGGGTGGCAGGGTGCACCCTTATACAGTAGATAGGGTAAAGAGCTCTGCTACCCGGGAGGAGGTCGGAGTAGAGCTGCTGCTCCTCCACATCGAGAGAAGTCAGCTGAGGTGGCTCTGTTTCGGATGCCTACTGGAAGCCTACATAGGGAGGAGTTCCAGGCATATCCCACTGGGATGAGGCCTCGAGGATGACCCAGGACATGCTGGAGGGACTATGTCTCTCGGCTGGCCTGGCAACGCCTCGAGATCACCCCAAAAGAGCTGGAGGAAATGTCTGGGGAGAGGAAAGTCTGGGGTTCTCTCCTAAGACTGCTGCCCCCACAACCCGGCCCCAGAAAAGCGATTGAAAAAGAATGAATGAATGAATAATCATTTGCATCATTTGAATGCAACAATATAAAGAATTAAAAGTCTTAGGCCTTTTAAGTATTTTTGTGAACATTAAAGAGAACTGCTGCATTGTAAATGCAATCATGTGAATAGTCAAAAAGGTAACTGCTGTATTGTAATTGCAATCATGGATTTAAAACAGTAATAAAGTCTGTAACACACTGTAACTGCAGGTAAGAAAGATTTGCCCTGGAATTTTATTTGGTCACCCAGATTCTATTGACTGTACACTCACAGAAAAAAAAACCCCACACCGTCCTAAAATAGTAGGAGGAATTCCACTGACCCATATGTAAACCCCAGCAGAATATCTGTCATCATAACACAAAACTGCCCCACATTTCATGCTTTAAGGGTCAGAGTCTGTTCTCCTTTTGAAAACACTGAGAAAACAGAGATGCTGGTGTGGCATTAAAAGCTCAGTTTCAACCCACCTCAACCTCAGATTCCTTCTTCTCCAGGGAAGGGTCTTCACAGCTGGGCTCTGTCTGTGGAAGGATGAAGGCGCGTGTTTATTTCCAGCAGAGGGCAGCAAAGTTTAATCTGCTTTTTTGGTAATGTAAACAGGGTTTATTATGATTTGAAAGAAAATGTGTTATCTTATGAACAAATTGTGATAAATATAATGATAACTAAAGATAATGCAAGTGGTCAAGTAAGTGAAAAAATATATAACACAACCCAGTATATGTATAGTTTTAAGAGAATGTAATCAGGTAAGTACACAAATCAGACAATAAAAGCAGACGCGCACACACACACACACACACACACACACACACACACACACACACACACACACACACACACACACACAAACACAGACAGACGCACGCACGCACGCACACACGCACACACACACACACACACATGCTAAAATATTATGTACTTATTTCTCATTTTATGAGTATCAAACTACAAAAGTACAGTTTGGGCTACTTATCAGAATTACGGGAGAATATTTATTTGGATTACCTTTTTTAATCTTATGCCTTACCCAGAATATAAAAATACATATAAACACATTTAGATCATTAACTCTAATCATTACTATTGGACTGTGAAGAGGCTTTAAACCAGCACAACAAAACACGTTTCTGAAGACAATCACCTACTTTAATCATCCACTGCATTTTAAAATATAACAATACTAGTTATCTTCACTTCAACAGCCAACGTTCTCTGCCTTCAGCTCCTGCGGCGAGAGGGTCAAAACTCGCTACATTGATCACTTATTTAAAGGAGCCGTTGCAGCATATCAGTTACATTCCTACATAAAACATGTTTATAGCGTGAAAATGTTGCGCACTTCTTATCAAATTCATACAACAATGGAAGATCAAGTTGCGTGTGGTGCGGCTTTGCTCTATTTATCCAATATGTGTCCATATGTCTGAAATATCCTGAAGCAGCAGTACTGTTTTGTTCTGTCACATCGCGTGAGATTCCCGCTTTTTTAAGTTAAATTTATATAACATTAATGAACATCAGTAACTCGCCAGCAACTTATTTAATGTATGTTCCTGTAGAAAAAAATTGTAAGTAATTGGAAATCCGGCGACCGCAATAATCAAACCCTTGGGAACAACTGTGGTCGGAACCAAAGTTCACAGGTCTGTGTTCTCTGAACTGCTATCAAGCGATGGACGTCTTTATTCTGATTGCTTGCCGCCGAACCGCGTCATAGCTCATTACCATAAAGTTGACTTCATTTCAACTCTCCTCGACGCTCACGCCGGCAAAGACGCGCCGCGCTGCTCCTCGCCGCCGGCTCTCATTGAAAATGAATGACTTCCGGCTACTTTGACGCTCTCGCCGCTTTCGGTGTGAACGTACGGTAAGACATCAAGCACTCTTAAAATGACAAACCAAAAACACCATTTCAGACACCAAACCTGGTTTACCGTACTGAAAGCGTACGCACTCTTACAATCAAAGGTTGATTCCTTGTCCTCTCTTTGGCCTCTTCCTCCTCCAGAATCTTCTTCCTGTAAATGTACACATAAACATAGCGGGTTTGAGGATAATGCAGCCCAGGATCATTGAGGATATGCACTCAGGTCTACTTCAAATTATGTACCCGGAGGTACGTCTGCTTTCAGTTTTTGTTTTTCGCAAATCCACTAGAGGCTGCTTTGTACACATTTCAGTGATTTCAAATTTCTCTCATGCCTGCAATTTGCGCGTCCTCTTCTCACGGAAATCCACCAGAGGGCACAACAATCTACTCTGCAGTCAAACAGTTTGCTGTCGATTGACTGTCTGACCGACTGACTCACTATACTAAAACCTATCGATAGTGTTTTCAAAAGTGATCTAAAATAAGAAAACCATTGCAGCATTGCGATTTTACTATGTTTACCAACTTTACCACGTTTTTAGCCTGTTATTTATTTATTTTTAGCTTTTGTTTCACCTGGTTTCTGGAACTGTTCTTCTCCAGACTCGAATTCTATTGTCATGGTCTGGTCCACTCCGTTCCACCTCCCAAGTCCATCAACCTATGCTGCAAGCTACTGGGCTAACTGGCAGTTTTGGGGAGTAACAAGTTACATGTAACGGCATTACTTAATTTAATTGCAAAATAGAAGTAACAGTAATTTGTTACAGCTACTGTAAAAAATTGTGTAATTAAATTACAGTTACTTGTTAAAATGTTAAAGATTTCAAATAGGGTTACATCTAAAAATATTCTTTGAAAATCGGGGATATGTTAGTTAATGATAATCTGTTGCTTTGCCTGTTTTTGATTTGCACGATGCCTTCTGCTAAGGCCTTTTATTAAAGCTGTGCTATTCTGATGTTTTTGATTGGGTTTCCGGTTTGAATTTGTGGTGCACCTCCTCTTTGCCGATGAAAGCATTAGGCTACTACAATCAGTCTGAGAGCTCCCACCATGGCGAGTGATAAAAATGCATTTCATTGGTGGAAATTTAAAAATCCTTTCACTCTGAAATCTGTGATGGGCACAAATATAACAGTTCAGTGCAAAATTAGTTTGCCAGCTGTTAAAATCAAAGGCTTTAATGTTGAACCCGAGGAAGCATCTGCAGGTACGTAATCTAACCTTTCTTTATTTTATAAAAGCAAATGTCGTACAGAAATAAAAACACACCCTTTCATTTTCAATGATATATTATGACTCATAAAAGTTATCGATTTGTGAAATTCAGGGCACCAACAGATTCCTCTGGCTTAAGCGATTTTATCACATTACCAGTGTTGGGCAATAGCGCTGCTACAAGTAGTGACACTACTAGCTTAACTACATTTCTCAGTAGTGTGACAGTAGCGTCGCCACTTTATAAATCAAATAGCTTTTTCAGTAGCTAAGCTATTTTATTAGTGAAGTAGCACAGTAGCATTCACACAAGCTACATTTAACGATTGCAGTTCAATACGTAACAACATCGATAGTCACAGAGCTGTGAGGCCGGTGTCTAGCTGATGAAAGTAAATCCATATGATGTTGAGAATGACGAGTTCTTCTTCTTTCAGTTTTTCGGTGGTCGACAAAAACCTTTTGGTGCGTTACTGCCACCTCTCGCTCTGGTCGAAGACGTCGCCAACCGATTAGGCTAACACAAGAAAGTCCAAAGACATATCCAAATATCCCCCACAAGTCCAAAGACATGCGGTACAGGTGAATTGGGTAAGCTAAATTGTCCGTATTGTATGTGTGTGATTTAGAATGTATGGGTGTTTCCAGTGATGGGTTGAAGCTGCAAGGGCATCTGCTGCGTAAAACATTTGCTGGATACCGCCCCATTCGCACAGGGTGTCAGCGTCAATGCTTCCCATTAAATTTGAATGGGTGACATCAGGCGTTGCTGAACTGCATTGTGTATCTGTCGGCGCCGCTTCAGAGGCGTTGCTCACTGCAGAAGTTGGGACTACCTCAACTTTTCAAGCGCCGACAGAAGCCAATCAGATCGCTGTATGCAAATTTACCAGCTAGACAGTGGCCTATTGCTGACTGAATTTCATTGGCTGATGCTGCTATGACGATCGCATCAGCCCCAACTTCAGACACGCCTTCAGTCAAGCACTGACGCTGAAGCCCTGTGTGAATAGGGCGTAAGTTGTTGATTCATTCCACTGTGATGATGGCATATTAATAAAGGGATATATATATACAACAGTTCTGTCAGGTTCTTGAATCTGATTGGCTGATAGCCGTGGGATATTCTGCAATAGCAGTATTTGTACAGCCTCACTCTTCTGTATTACTCCGCCCACATACAGCGACAAGAGGACACTTTACAGTTTGACAAATATTGCAGCTTTTGGACAACATCAGGAACTTTTGAGGCTTTTTTTAGTCGAGGATGTGGTTGTTTAGGTTGCAACTATGCAGTTTATTTATAAGCATGGTGACTAATTCAAAATATTTATAATTTCTGAGAGAGCGTGCGGCGTCCATTAGCCAAAGACTGTTGATGTTATCTATCCACAAGATAGCGCCAGGACCGCATAATAAGCCCTTGCTTAGAAGATTAAAACGGCGTGATTTTTAACTACAGCTGATCAAATCATTATTAATCTGGTGAGTGATATTCTAAGTCGATCCCTCTCTTTTGTATAGATTGCAACTGTGCAGTTTATTTATAAGGACAGTTCCTATTTTAATACAGGTACTGTCCTACCCCAGTTCTCAACAGTGTCATTCAGAGATCTCACCCCCGAACACCCCCCTCTTTATCGCATACACAACAGCAATCTGGTAGTGATTGAGCTGCTTTTTTCGGGGTTAATTATTGTGATATACCGATTGCAACAGAGAAATACTGTAGACTGTAACACTGTAAAGGCTAATTTATACTTCTGCGTCAAACGCCGGCGTATGCTACGGCGCTGATGCATAGCCCTTCACTGTGGCCGTCGGCGTCGCTGACGTGCACCTCTCAAAAAATGTAACTACACGTCGCAACGACGCGTAGCGCAAGCTCTGTGAGAGCCGCGCAAATGGCGCGAGCTGGACGCGAGCCCAATGGAGTGATTGTTTACAAGTGTGAAGTACCGTGAAGGAGGTCCTGATGGAAAGTTTTGTTTTGTGTTTACCTTATAGTTAAAGTTGTTGCACGTCCGCCGGTTCCTGCCTCAAAATTAGCGAGTTTGAGCCACTTGTACATCCTGGAAGCGTTCAGGAAAAGCAAAACAGCAGCGAAGAAACTCGACACAGAGGAACATTTACACCTCACTGCCAACTAGCGTTTCGGAAGCATTAATGCAGACCAACAGAGACAGCGCACAGAAGTATAAATGCACAGCTACGCGCGATGCATGCGCCGTGGGTCACGCAGGTCACTTGACGCAGAAGTATAAACCAGGCTTGAGAAGATATCTCTAGACGAAGGGCATTTCATGCCATGTTCAGCCTTATAATCTTAAAATGTCAGCAAAATCACCTGTTTTGTCATTATTTTAGACATTACGCTTGAGAATCATTCAAACACTAGCTCTAAAGTGATGTTGGTGAATTAGTAATGGCTTCTGCTGTTTTCAAGTCAGCTGCAGATGTAAATAAACGGCGGAAGAATGTAGTTCCTAAGGAGTTTTTGACTCTCCATTTTGGATTTTCTTGTTTTATATACACAATTGTGCTGTCAAACTGTAGTATAAACGCAATATCACATTGCTCATACAGTATGTATATATATATATATATATATATATATATATATATATATATATATATATATATATATATATAGATATACACGCACAATATAATGCTTATTTCTAAATATGTCCCTTTACTATATAGTATTTTTAATGTGTAACACAGGGTTTTATTGGATTATTTGTTTTTGCTGTTATATACTATAATTTGTTTCTGTTTAGTACAGCATATTAATTACAGTAAATAACTGAACTGAACAATTTTTTATTATAAGGTCTGATTTTGTGGTGGCTGTACTTTAAAATGAAATTAATACAATCTTAATTCAAGAGATGAAGATTTTAAAATTCTAAGGTCACACCTACTTGGTATAAATGCTTGAAATTGATTTACTTGAAAATATCCAGTAATCAGATGTAATCAGTTACTTTACGTTTATGTAAATGCAATATTTAATGTAATAAAAAGGTACACTACTTATTACTTACACATTACACATTTGTAATCTGTAATCTATTACATTTCCAAAATAACCTCACCAACACTGCTAACTGGTAACACTGGAAAAGCCCTCCACTTGGAGGTAAGTGGTCAGTGGTAGCGTGAAAAGGAACAGAAGCTCTTGGCAGTGTCATACCACCCCATAGTGTTTGTTTCTCAAACAAACGCAGTCAGAAGTTGCCCCAGGTACATATTTGTGGTTTTCCAGAATTTTAGACCGGGGTGCGTATCCACAATGAGCCTGTGTTGGGTTAATGTGTGTCCGAGGGTCATTTGTGTTGGTCATTGTGTTTGTTTATCACCTGTGCTCCTCGATCTGCTGCTCTCTTTCGCGGTATCGCTTCTCTCTCTCTTCCTGCTCTTTTCTCTCCAGCTCCATTCGCTCATTTTCGAAGCGCTGCCGCTCCTCCGCAGCCTTCCTTCTCTCTTCCTCCTTCCTCGTCTCCTCTTCCCGCTGCAACACACATCAGGAAAATATGAGTGACATGCATTCACATTGAACAGGAGGATGATGATAGTTAGTGTAGAGAATTTATGGTTTCGTTTCTATTTTTATATAAGGGTTTTTACGTTTGAGTGGATGCATTAGATGTAAACGAGGATGACCTTATGTAACTGATGTGTTTTATTCTCAAAGATATATGTCTCTATTGTGTTTTTTTCTCTGTAATTAGTTGAGTGTTTTATTGGAGAAATAAGAGACTTCTAGAAAAAAAAACTTCCAAATATTCCCAATTTAAAATTAAATCTATATATTTTGAATGTGTTACTGAATATGGGGGAAATTATTACAATTTTATCTCCAAACTCCTTTATTATTATTATTAGTAGTAGTGATATTTAACACAAAATAAACACACACACACACACACACACACACACACACACACACACACACACACACACACACACACACACACACACACACACACACACACACACACACACACATATATATATATATAGTTTATATATATATAGTTATTAAATATTTAAATAACGACAACAACAATAACACATAAATTAATAATAAATAAATAAATAATAGTAACAAAATAAAACATTCTTCTTATTATTATTATTGTTACTACTACTACTACTATTATTATTAGTATTTAATTTTAACATTTGCAACTGGCATTTTTACAATGAAATAAAAACTAAATTATAATAATAATCATTTAAATATGCAAGTAATTGCAAACATTTTTATTTAAAATGCATTACAATTAAGATTCCAGATGTGCAATAAATAACAGCAGAACAGAGAGTAAAATGATTAAGTGTGCAATGAAACTTGTGGTCACTGCATAAAAGGACAATGGGTTATTTTTTGCAATCCAAAATATTTTATTTAAATATATATTAAATATATATTATATATTAAAACATATGCTGGATAAGTTGGTGGTTCACTCTGCAGTGGTGACCCCAGATTAATAAAGAGACTTTATTAAAGTCAAAAAGACAAAGAAAGAATGAATAATAAATACTATAACTTATATTAATCATAATCTTCACAGATATCTTGGAAAACAAGTACACTACCCTTTAAAAAACATAAAAGGCCAAAAATGTTAGCAGTGATAATGACACCACACTGTATTTTGATTATTTTAGTTTTACAATAAAACAATTAATAAAATAATTAATAAATAAATGGATTTTTGTCAATAATTATAGAATCTAAACATTAAATATAAAAGGTAGTTAATATTTTAGCACAGAAGAATGTTTCAAAGAGTTTCTAAAAACAAATAAATTTAGAAACTTTTGATTAATAAAAAAAGTAAACCCTAAGGAAAATATAGTGCCCATAGCTAAAGTTACAAACCACTATTACTATTATCTACTATATTTTAGTGTACTGTTTTTAGTGTATTTTCTATATTATATTTATAGTATTATATAAATACTATATACTACTTATGTTTTAGCATACTTATTTTAGTAAACTTAACTAATATATTTTATTTATTACATTTTCAGATATGAAACTGCATTCTAAGCATGTAGTGATTGAACGATACCAAACAGTCTGATGAACCACTTCCTCATTAAAATTAAAACAAAGAAACACAAGTCCACCGAAGCGAACAATAGTTGACTCGCACCATCGTCCTGAAGAGTCCAGCATCTCTACAACACAAAAAAAAAAAAACTATCAAACATGTACCTTGGCTTGCTCCCAGAACTCCTCTCGATTGATTTTCTTCATCTCGATCTCTGCATTTGTTTTCTGGTAGGTGGTGCCCTGCAGTGGAAGGAAAGGGGAAGTGTGAGGACTGACCATTTTAATTGGACAGCAAGCGGAGGACAAAGATGTTGATCCAAGAGAGGCTCTATGGGGACGGTTTGTTTCTTCCCCAAACAAGAAGTCAGCTAGAGAGTGCACGCACACAAAAACATTAGTACAGCTATCTTCATGGGGACTTCCCATACAGTAAATGTAATGATTTTTATACTGTACAGACTATATATTCTATACCCCTACCCCTTAACCTAACCTTCTCAGGAAACAATCTGCATTTTTTACAATTTTAACATACTTCATTTGGTGTGATTTATAAGCTGTTTTCCTCATATAGACAAAAAAAAAAAGTTTCCATGAGGTCAAAATGTACTGGTATTGCTGTACTTCTGGGGACATGTGGACATCCCCACATTGTAAGGAAAACAAAGATTCCTTATTTGGTTTACAGCAACATCGCTTGTGTTTCAATCTGATTGGCTGAATAGTTGTGGCGCAAAAAAAAAATATTTTTGCTAAACACAAAATTAATTTAAAATAAATTTTGTCAACAATGCAACAACTTGAAGGTAAGTACAAATGTTCGGTTGTTTTAATGTAACATTTTTAACTCAAATGTTGAGTTTGGTCAGCGCCAGTGGTGTAGTGGTTAGTGCGTCGACACATGCACTCCGGTGCTCACGGCTAACCGAGTTCGATTCCTGCCTCGTGGTCCTATCCTTCCCCTCTCTCTGCTCTCCATGCTTTCCTTTCAGTACTCTCTACAGTCCTATTTAATAAAGGTGGAAATTAGCCCCCCACTCCCACCCCACCCAAAAAAAAGGTTCCACTTTATATTAAGTGTCCTTAACTACTATGTACTTACATCAAAAATATGTACTTACATGTGTTTATAATGTATTTGAGAACACGTGGTGCTTTTGAGTTGGGATAGAGGTTGGGTTATGGACAGGTTTGGTGGCATGGGTAGGTTTAAGGGTGGGTTAAGGTGTAAGGGATGGTCAACAGTGTATTTACAAATGTAATTACAAAAGTTAATTACAGATGTAAGTACATACATGTATTTAATCAAGCATAGGTACACAGTAAATACATGTATTTTTACAATAAGTACATTGTAACAAACTATTAATTCTTGTGTAACTACATATTAGTTAAGGCCACTTAATATAAAGTGGGACCAAAAATAATAAAAAAAAAATGTTGAGTTTGTCTGTATTTTAATGTATAATTTAAGGTAAATATATATTTAAGTCACCAAGTCAGTACTGAAGTAGTATACTTACATGTATAATAATAATCAATAATAAAAGTAATGTAATGTACTTTGATATTAATATACTGTACTTGCAGCATACAGTACAGTATACGTACTTGACATTAGTTAAAGTGATCATTGGTTTGTTGAAAACGAAAGAAGAAATTTTAAATAATTTTGAAAACCGGAAGCCGTAGATTTCCATTACTTTATTATTTTTTTCTATGTATAGTCAAAGACTACAGAATACCCAAGACGTGTCACTTGTATAGTTTTATATGGGGAAAAGTGTAAGAGTAAATATGAGGAATGAAGCCCTGTCTACTAATACAGGAGCCAGGGGGGGAGGGGGGAGCTCAGACCAGACGTGTGCCTTTACGACAGTTTGTGTAGTCAACAAACACAATGGACTCTCATCGAATACGTGCTTCACACACATATGAAATATACCCACATAAAGCTTGAAATCTGTACTTTTAAATGAATCAGTTGCACTAATCTGTATAAAACAAACGTGAGGTACAGTCCGTCCTGTTAATTGCACACCACATGACAGCAACAAATGCCCACAAACTTGTAAACAAAGAGTTGATGTAATTTCTGGAGTAGATTCACCATCAAGACCAAGATCAAGTTGTGAATTACTTTAGATGACGCGTGCAATCAGACAATCAGTATCCAGAGCATGATAATGTGTAGAACGGCCATAAATGAGGTTGCTGTTGTGATCTTGTTTCTTTTCGAGTGTGCATGAGCATTAGCTTGGACAACCTGAAAATATGCAGATTTTGTTTGATTCGAATATTCAGAAACAAAACTAATAGGACAGATGTTGTTTAATTTTATTGGTGGTTCCAAATATGTAATTCAATCATAAGCTTGGCAAACAGTTTTGGAGAATTTGATGTTTCCCCATTTAGACAGATGCCCGAGCATACTGCCAGAGAGGCGTTTCAAAGATGGTCAGAGTGTAATGATTTGCCTTAAAGGGACTTTGATATTGTATACAATGGATACTGACCTTGAAACCACTTGAGAAAGAGTAAATAGTGATTAAATTTTAGTTTTTGGGTGAACAATCCCTTTGTATTAGATTCTTTGTGAGGGAGCAGTAAAACATACAAGTACAAAACCATTGAAAAAAATTTACTAAATAAGAGTATCTTATGCTAATCAAGGTTGAATTTATTCAATAAGGTAAAACAGTAATAATCCTAACGTATTGATGCTATCTTAGATGATTTTGTACTTCAGTGTATTTTAAAATGTCATTTGTTTTTGTGATGCCAATCCTTACTTTAGAGATGGTCTTTCAAAATGATCCATTATATTTATTTGTTGTTAAATTATTATAAGTTAGTGCTTGCACTCTAAGAGTAATGAACTGCAACCGATTATTACTGTGGAAACTATGGTTCAAAAGAACAGAGTTTTGTTGTAATTAAACATTTAATTCATTATTTATTTTTATGTCTTTATGTTGTTTGTGAGGAACTTAATGAATCCTCTATTAGAATTTCATAATTCTTTATTATTGAATTTCATTACCATTAATTGCATTATTATTAATATAATTAATTAATTAATTAATTAATTAATTAAAATTGTACATAAACCATTCTTTCAAAAAACAACACAACTGAGAAAAGAGAGAAGGATAATTGTGTGTTTTTAAATATATTTCTATGTTAAATTATATTTATGAAGTCAGAATTATTAGGCCTCCTTTGATTTTTTTGTCTTTTTTTTATATTTCCCAAATGATATTTAACAGAGCAAGGAAATTTTCACAGTATGTCTGATAATATCTTTTCTTCTGGAGAAAGTCTTATTTGTTTGATTTTGGCTAGAATGAAAGCAGTTTTTAATTTTTAAAAATTATTTTAAGGTCAAAATTATCAGCCAATTTAAGCAAATTTGTTTCCAGATAGTCTACAGAATAAACCATTGTTATACAATAACTTGCCTAATTACCCTAACTTGCCTAGTTAACCCAATTAACCTAGTTAAACCTTTAAATGTCACTTTAAGCTGTATAGAAGTGTCTTAAAAATATCTAGTCAAATATAATGTACTGTCATCATGGCAAAGATAAAATAAATCAGTTATTAGAAATGCGTTATTAAAACTATTATGTTTAGAAATGTGTTGACAAAATCTTTTCTCAGTTAGACAGAAACTGAGGACAAAAATAAACAGGGGGGCTAATAATTCTGACTTCAACTGTATATATGTAGGAAACAGTTGCTTTGAATTGTATCGAATTTCACACCATTACTGCGTGTATTATTTACAAATTATTTGCATAAGTGAATTCTGCCAAAAAATCAACAAACTTTTACCCAGTAGTGCATACTTGGTTGAGCCATCATTCAGATAACTGAAAAAAAGGAAGGAAGGATCTTGGCTATTTTAAAGTGTGTGGATCGACTCAGTGTTTCGCATCGTACAGAAACAATCATTGTTTCAGTTCCTCTGCATCAACAATGCGGCTCTAAGAGCTCTTTCCTCTAAAAACAGTAACAAGGCTGCGCTCTTCTGTCAGACATCACACTATTAGAGAGCCATTCAGAGACAACTTGATTTGACCCCTTTACCGTCACGTCCGAAGGCACGCAAACAAGCCCACACACACGCATATGCACTCACGCAAACTCACACACACACTCACAGCAGCCCCCTCTCATCACTTACCCTTCAACTGGTTCCAAACCTTTATGAGTTTCTTTTTTCTATTGAACATATTTGGAAAAATGTTGGAAACTGTAAACAATGACATGCACAGCCAATGCTGTTTACTTTTTTATACTTTATTCTGTACTATTTTAATTTTTGGAGGTACTGTTTGTTTTATGGCTTAACTGCACTTTGCAGACGTACTTTGTTTTAACAGTAAAACCTACAATAGAAATAAACCGAGGGCTTTATTGTGTGTTTTATCCTTGAGAACGTATTTTGAAATTTATGGGTTGCTTATAATTTGTACAATTTGTTTAAATCTGTAAAATTCAATTCAATTCAATTTCAAAAGTCATTGGCTAGTAAACTGCATATAAATATTATTATATTATAAAAATGTTTGGAAAATGTTAAGTTCTATAGGAGAATTACCAACCTACATCACATGACATCACACGGGTTGAACCGTGCATACTGGTTGCAAAAAACGATCGGTTGCAATAAATTTGAAAGTCCAAAAATAGATAAATTTTACCGTACACCACACTGCTTTCAATGCCAACCACAGATGTATTTGGCTAACAGCCATCATAAAAGCTGAATGGAGTGAGGACCTAATTAAAAATGCTCGACTCTGCAGTTCTCATTGTATATCCGGTGAACTTACTCATGGTGAAGTTGGTTTTATATTCGCAAATTCGGACTTTCTCCATAATAATAAAATTTCATGAAAGCATTATTTGCAAACTCTAGTTGAGAAATTATATTAGCAGTCAATGACTATCAAAGTAAAACATTGTTCACAGTCAAATAAACAGTGTTAATGTTGTTTTCAAGTCACACTTGCAGGTTATTTCAGACCGAATATTCAAACTGCCATGGTGAACAAAATAGGGAGTTTTACAAGTTGTTACTGAATGAATGTGTTAATATAAAACCAACTTTACCTTAATAACTTACACTTTCACGTTTCATTCTTAGCATTCAGTGTCCGCAGTTTAAATTACCATAATGTATGTAACTGAAGTATATGTTGTGCCCTCTGGTGGAATTATGCGAGAAGACGTGTGAGAGCAATTTGAGATCATCAAAAAGCCTACACAACAGCCTCTAGTGGATTTGCAAAAACAAAAACTGCAAGAAGTACCTCCAGTTACGTTTTTGGATGTCCCCAGAAATGTAGACCTGTGGATGTATCCATAATAAGCCTAGGTTGAGGTCATGATTCCCAGAATAACAATCGGATAGTCTTGCTAAAGATCCCCAATGATTTCCACCCCTATTGTGTTGTAATCATAGAGAGTTAGATATGCTGTGCATCAACTGCACCAAACGTATTCTAAGCCTCAACTGAATACTTTGGGTATAAAATCTAACTGTTTATTAGTGAGTGGCTCATCATTCATTTAGTTGCCAAGCATAAAATTAGGTCATACAGTTCACATCAAAATAATTCGCCCTTCTGTGAATTCTTTTTTAAATATTTCCCCAATGATGTTTAACAGAGCAAGGAATTCTTCACAGTATTTCCTATATTTTTTTCCTCTAGAGAAAGTCTTATCTTTTTGTTGTCCAACACATGAAAGAAACTCAAGGTTTGAAAAAAGTGAAAGGAGTGCTAAATGATGACAGAACATTCTTTTTTTTGGGCGTACTGTCCCTTTAAGCAGCTCTTCTGTCAGCCATCACCTACCACGTGTTCTCCGTTTTCCTCGTCTTTCATCTTCAGGCGGCTCAGCACCGGACTGGCCACTGGAACCGTCCCATTGGTGAGCCTCTGTCCGATGGCGGAGGGGTCGATGTCCTCCAAGCTGCTGGCGTTCACAATGACGTCGACACCCTGGTGAGAGAAAAAGAGCATTAGTAGCACTGCAGCACAAAGAGCACCTGGCAACCAGCATCAGCCACGCATTTCAATTACACGTTCTGTTTAAAGTCGCTATGGCACAACGCCCGGTTGGCACAAGAGTGACAGACTAAAGAAGAAAGTCACTAAAGCATTGGGCAGCTTAAAAAAGTCCTCGGTAAGTTAAAACAGGCACGAAATCTACTTACACAACACCATTTTCAACAATTTGGTCATTCTTTTAATTGTCAATGGTGTTTTGGGGCCCTTAAAATATAAACTTTTGAAAACAAAACCACTATTGTCTAATGGATCGGTAAATCGGTAGGCATTTATTTATTTTATTATATTTACCACTTTTCTTTAGGGTACCTACCACAACAATACTGGTATATTTCGAACCACTGCTAGGGGTGTGCCTTTACCTAGGGGCCTTCTATTCACATTACCAGTTGTTCCCTATAGGCAGAAACTCTTCAGATCTCCCACACACACACCCCACCTTAAAGGAGATCTTTGGTTTAACTACTTAAGGGAAAGTTTCAAAATGTTCGAACCAGATTAGCCCATAGTATGGACATCTCATGATCCACATACTATGTATATTT